ACATGCAAAATAAAATTATCTTGATTAAGTTTTATTTGATAGATTAATTTAAATTGACATGGGTATGGTGTCCTGATTTTGGGGTATAATGACCTGATGACCTCATAATATGAAAACCTATAATAAAAGCATTCTTTAATTCTTGAAGTTTTTGTTTCATTTTTCAAATTTTATTTATTTTCATATGGATAAATAAAAAGTTTACAATTTTTTTTTTCTGAAAAATGTTGATTTTCCATTGCTCAAAAGCACTTTTAAGTTAACAACGGGTATTATGTCCTGATTATGAATGCCCTGATTTTTGATAGTGACCAGATTAAAATACCTATGTCAATACTCAATCGTTAAAATTAATGAATTAATTAAATAATTGCATTGTGACATTTAAATGAATGAGAATTGTAATAATTTATTTATGGCCAAATTAAAACAAATGGGTAAAGCACTAGTGAAATGGGTGAGTTGAGTTTGATTTCCGGTCTAGCCATACAATTTCTTCTTTCCTGTTACAGATTTGGCACCTTGACTACCCCTGGAAAGAATGTGAATTATTCCTTTATTCTTTTACAGAACTTTGAGAGCAATAATTGAATAAACAGACCATGTCAGAGTTTGAGATTAAGACATCTATATCCAGTACCAGAGATCCGGGATCACACCAGGGAGAAGATTCTACTGGTATATATACATGTAAATAGCAAAAGTTCTTAAGAAAATACATTGTAAATAATATATACATATTGCATTTAGTTGAGTTTAACATTAAACATTTTCATCCCAAGAATACCATTGTCAACTGAGCTGTTGACATTGGGTCTTCATGAGGTGACAATTTTCAATGTTACACTCAACAATAGGTCTTCATATATTACCGAACGCCAATATCCGGATGCTTTTTTGACATGACAATTTTCTTTTAATGTTATCTTGTTTTGTTTAACTCGTACAATCCAGACAGTATTATATTATTTTGAATGCTTTATATAAAAATACATATTACAGTGAACCGTGCACATATAAATTCTGTGCAGTCAACATTTTTTAGAATATCACCCATCGTCAAGCAATGTTGACTGTTGCTACGCTGGAGGGCGTGGCTTCATTATTCAGAGGAAGGCTCAAGTGAGCTTTTCTGATCAAAATTTGTCAGTTGTCTGTCATGGTTGGTTGTTGTCGTAAACTTTTCACATTTTCATCTTCTTCTCAAGAACCAAACTTGCCATAAAGTATCATTGGGTGAAGGGGATTTAAGTTTGTTCAAATGACTGTCTTTGTCGCCTGTGTGGCACAGTGGTTAGATTGTCTGCTTTTGAGTCGCAAAGTAATAAGCCAGTCCTTACGTCGGGGGTTCAAATCCCACTGTGGAAAGTGGAGACCGTTCTTTTGGAAGACACTGTATAAACCAAGGCCCCCGTTTCACAGTAGGTGCTGGCATGATAAAGATCCCTCGCTGCTCAATGGCCCTGAGTTCCGAGTATAGGACAAAATTTGAAGCTCCCCACCGGCAATTGGTGGCATCTCCATATGAGTGAATAATTCTCGAGAGGGACATTAAACTACATATAATCAATCAATCAACTCTGTCTTCTAAGGGGAGATAATTATGAATTAGTAGAAAATTAACGGCATCTTTTAAAAATCTTGTTCTCAAGAACCACTGGGCCAGGAAAGATGAAACTCATGTGGAAGCTTCCTCAGGTAGCGTAGATTCAATTTTGTTCAAATAATGACCCTCTGGGGTAGGATGGGGCTATGATGGGGGTCGAAGTTTAACATAGGAATACACAGGGAAAATCTTTAGAATTCTTCTAAAGAACAGGAAAGCCATGATTTGTCATAGTTTTATGGAAGCATCCTTCTGTGGTGTAGATTCAAGTTTGTTCAAACCCCCGCGGTTAGGGTCGGGATATGATGGGGATCAAAGTACAGGATTTCAGGGAAAATCTTTAAAATTCTTCTTCTCAAGAACAGGAAAGCCATGATTGGTCATAGTTTTATGGAAGCATCATTCTGTGGTGTAGATTCAAGTTTGTTCAAACCCCCGGGGTTAGGGTTGGGATATGACGGGGATCAAAGTTTAACCTAGGAATTCCGAATATATAGGGAAAACCTTTAAAATTCTTCTTCTCAAGAACAGCAAAGCCAAATTGGTCATAGTTTTATGGAAGCATCCTTGTGTGGTGTAGATGTAGATTCAAGTTTGATCAAACCCCCTGGGGTAAGGTGGGACCATGATGTGGGTCAAACTTTAACATAGGAATACATAGGGAAAATCTTTAAAATTCTTCTACTCAAGAACAGCAAAGCCATGTTTGATCATAGTAATATGGAAGCATCCTTGTGTGGTGTATATTCAAGTTTGTTCAAACCCAGGGGGGTAGGGTGAGAGAAAAATCGGGTATCAAAGTTTTACATAGAAATTCATAGGAAAAATCTTTAAAAATCCTCTTCTCATGAACAGCAAAGATGTGATTGTTTAAATTTATATGGAAGCATCCTGGGTAGTGTAGATTCCAAGTCTGTTCAAATCATGACCAATCAGGAAAATAGAAGAGCCATATAAGTGGATCATATAGAGTTATACAAAGGAATATAAAGGTTATATCAATAAAATTTTTCATCTTACTGTATAAACAGCAAAGCTTTTATGTATCAAAATTATTTAAAAGTATCATTGAGAAGTATAAATAAATTGAAGTTTGTTCAATAACCCACCTCCCCCTTCTTCGTTGAACCCCTTTTTAGGTCACCTGAGTAAACTCAGGTGACCTATTGCTATCTGTTTTTGTTCCGTCGTCGTCCGTCGTGCGTCGTGCGTTAACATTTGAACATTTTCAGCTTCTTCTCTGCAACCACTGAACTAATTTCAACCAAATTTGGCACAAAGCATCTATGGGTGAAGGGGAACAAAAATTGTGAATTTCATCATCCCTGCCCCCCTGAGGCCCGAGGGGTGGGGCCAAAACCACTAAAATTAATGCAATCTTTAAAAATCTTCTTCTTTACTCCTGGACATCAAGCAGGCAAACTGTTTGCATAATTGTAATCAGCAATGAGTCCTCTATCACAATTGTAAAATTCATAGCCCTGGGGTCAGGGGTTCTAGTGCTAGGGCGGGGCTAAATAAGTAGGTAGTGAAAATGTTATTTCTTTGAAAATCTTCTCTGCTCCTGGGTATTTTATAAAAATAAACCAACTAAGTGCATAATTATGATGAGCAAGAGTGCCTCTACCAAAATTGTGAATTTTATGGCCCCAGGGTCAGGGGTTCTGGTGTTAGGGCGGGGCTCTATTGATTATATAGTGAAAATACATGATTTCTTTGAAAATCTTCTCCTCTGCTCCTGGGTATTAAATAACCTAACTAAGTACATAGTTATGATGAGCAAGAGTGCCTCTACCAAAATTGTGAATTTTATGACCCCAGGGTCAGGGGTTCTTGTTTTAGGGTGGGGCTCTAATGATTATATTATAGTGAAATGCATGAATTCTTTGAATATCCTTCCTGGTTGATATGCTAATGATCTAATTACATATTTAAGGCCAGGATTTATTTTATTTTCAGTTTTACAAACCGTCCGCTCAAGGTTTTGAATGTTCAGAAAAAAATACAACAATTTTTTTCATTCCGTTGTCAAACTTGAGTCGGGATCGAGATTTCACATTTACGAACTCGCACTTCCGGTTTTAAGATGAAACGGCGGGTAAATAAAGCGAGATCTGAAAGATAGCTTGGTTTAGTGTAAAATTCATCGATACGAGTGCCATTTAAAAAGTTTCACCTGTTGAAAGGACAAATAAAATGCTGACGACTTTTTTGCAAAATGACATGCTGGTGAGATAATTATGTATTCGTTTCAAAAGTATCTGTCTGTAAATTATTTTCCTCCTCCAGGTTTTAAACTGCCCCTGGTAGCTGTTGCATATTGCCAGCGGGCAGCAACATTGTTTAGGTCTCTGTTATAGCTTACAGTCTAAGCATCATTCTTCAGAAAAGGGTTGCTTATGCATCAAATATAATGAATAAAACTATGGGAGAAGTTCAGTCCATTTGAGGATGAAATTGTTATGGCAAGAATATACAAATATATACAGGCATGTAGTATCATTTGTATCAGCCAGAAAAAATTATTTTACACTTGATTGAAAAAATGTTCACCCTACACATGCAATACCCCTGTCTGTTTTATGATAGGATTAAATTTTAGAACAATGTCTACACATTCACCTAACACATATTAAAAAAAATGAAGATATTTTGAAAGACTTTAAAAGAATTGTTTTTTTAAAATATATTTTGACCAACATTACAAAATTTATATAACTGGCCCAAACTGGCAGATGATGAAATAAGCAATTAAATGTTTTACTTTCCTATTTGTAAGCATTATAACATGTGTCTATTGATAAGGAGCCTATTATAATAGCATAAAAAAGAATGTACAAATGTTAATAATTGATTTATCAAAAAAAATTTTGATATCCTTCTCCTTTGGGACTTTTTTATTCTCTTGTTCATAACTAAACCTAAACAGAAAAAAATGCTGGCCTTATAATGAAGAAAGGGGCCTCTTTCAAAATAGATAACTTTCAGGGACTCTGGGTCAGGGGTACCAGGGGGGTACTTTGACTAAAAATAAATTAATGCTTTGAAATCTGCCCTTTGATAAGTAATGGTGCCTTCTTCAAAATTTGTGAATTTCATGGCTTTTGGATTAAAACACGAACCAAATACAATCGCTGGAAAGTTGTACATGATACTCAGGTGACCTATAAGGCCCGTGGGCCTCTTGTTCTATTTAAACTTTTCAATACTGAACTGATTTTTGCTTTTAGTTTTACATATCCAGTTGCTTAGGTGAGCAATGTGGCCCCTGGGCCTTATGTTTAACAAATGTTTCTCGACATATCAGATTCAACCAATTTACATGAATTGAAAGTATATGCAGCACTGTTAAGGTTTCCTGTAAAGAAATCAAAGAAATACACACGTGCAAAAAATGTCAACTGCAGCTCTAGTGGTATCCAAAGACAAAAAGAACTTCTCTGGGGGTTTTTAGGGGTCAAAAGGTAGTGGGGAAGAGGTTGGGCTGTAATAGGCCGCATTCCCGATGGTTAAAAGTAGGTGTTTTCCACTATTTTATAAAAGAAATTCCCAAAAGAGAATTCTCATGTCTCTTTTGAGTAAATGTATACAGTAAAACTTGTTTAGTACAAACAGAATTCTCATATCTCTTTTGAGTAAATGTATACAGTAAAACTTGTTTAGTACAAACACATATACATGTATTGCAAATTTACGGATATAGCGAAATCATTTTGAATACCCCACTATATAAATTTAATGAATTTCTTATACTGTTTTCAAGAATTACAGATATAAAGAAGTAATTTCAAAGGTCCCAGCGACTTTGTTATAACTAAGTTTTGCTGTAAATATATATGATATATTTTTGTAAACGTTTTACATTTGGCTTTTACGTGTCTTAAATTTGGTGAAACGCAGCAACCGCTAAATCAAATACAACGCTAAATGTCTCACTCATATACAAACAAATAAGGAGATGAAGAAATGCGCTAAATCAAATCTATGCTAACTTATTCAAAAACCAATTTCAGCCAAATATCGTAGACACTAACATTATGGAAGTGGCCTAAATTACTCTGTTGCTTACTTCATCTATCAAACCTGTATTCTTGTAAAATAATAAGGAATTGTAAGATTTCTTCACGTAACTTGTGTTTATTGTAGAAGAGAAGCTGACATTTGACATTTTCGACCCTGAAAGAGGAGGACATCAACACGAAGTAATAGTGAAGGTAAGTCAAGATTTTGGTGACAATTTTCTGTAATAACGACAGTGCCTAGGCCCTCTAAGAAAAATTGTTTGGTTGCTCTTTTTCGACCTAATTGCTAAAAATTGCTTGACTCAAAACATTTTTAACATTAAAAAGGCAATATTTTTAGCTCACCTCAACGAAGTTGGGGGAGCTTATGTAATACCCTCGGCCTCGGTGTCGGTTTTGGCGTCGGCGTCCCAGGTTAAGGTTAAGTTTTTTGGAGCATTTTTCTTTTTAAAGTAATTCCACCCTCCTATGATGTCATAGTTTTTTGCAAAAACTGTAATTAGTTTAAATGCATACCTAATAGAACAATATCTCTTGGAAGAATGCTTTACAATAGGTGTGATGATAAATATTGTTAAGTTAAAAAAAATTAAAATGCATGTTTTCTATATCTAATCAAATATTCAATCTTTAAAAAACGTTGACAAGGGCAATAACTCCTTCTTAGTTCTCTTCATTCTGGCATTTGCTTTAATGTAAAATAGTTTCCCCTGATATTCACAATTCAAAAGTATCTTTTAAGTAGAAAGTATTTAGGAACACTCAGCATCAAAATTATTCATTTTAACCAGTTTTTACATATATTTTATAATACTGTTTACAAAAAATATGTGATTTTTTTGTTGACATACACCTCTGTTTATTTATGTTTCGCATCTTAAATAATATGGTGACCTATACATTTTTTGCAATAATTGGAAAGTTTAAACTATATTAAGTGAAAATAAATGCAGTTTCTGTACTTTAAACCTATAAAATTGTTACGATGGAATCACTTTAAGTACTTCTATGTCCTGTATTGATTAGACATGCATGGAAGATGGTTTAAGTGTGTTTCATTGTATCAGTCAAAGTTTCAGATGCTGCAATTTCAGCAAAGGAATGACCAGGTTAATGTTTTTGGAGCAGGTTAACATTTTTGGTGCAGTTTTTGGTGTAGGTATCTTTTCCAAGTAACTATAAGCCCTATGTTGACCAAACTGGCATGGATGATACATCTAAGGATGCATACTACCGGGCTTGCTTCAGATGCTGAATCTGACCTACATTTACCGATTGAGTGAACAGGTTAAAGTTTTTGGTGCAGGTTTCATTTCCAAGTTACTATAAGACCTATGTTGACCAAACTTGCATGGATGATACATCTAAGGATGCATACTACCGGGCTTGCTTCAGATGCTGAATCTGATCTACATTTACCGGTTGAGTGAACAGGTTAAAGTTTTTGATGCAGGTTTCATTTCCAAGTTACTATAAGACCTATGTTGACCAAACTTGCATGGATGATACATATAAGGATGCATACTACCAGGCTTGCTTCGGATGCTGAATCTGACCTACATTTTCTGGTTGAGTGAATAGGATAAAGTTTTTGGTGCATGGTTCATTTCCAAGTAACTATGAGTTCTTTAATGACCAAACTTGCATGGATGATACATATAAGGATGCATACTACCAGGCTTGCTTCGGATGCTGAATCTGTCCTACTTTTTTTGGATGAGTGAAAATATTAGTTTTTGGTGCATGTTTCATTTCAAATTAACTATGAGACCTATAATGAGCAAACTTGCATGGACGATACACTTTAGGATGCACACTAATGGACTTGCTTCGGATGCTGAATTCGACATACATTTTTCAGATAATAGATCAGGTAAAAATTATGGTGCAGGTCTATTACCAAAAAACTATTAGGCTTATATAACATTGTAAAAACCAAACTTGCGCAAATAGTGCATCAAGAGATGAAAACTCTCAAATTTGCTTCAGATGCTGGATTTTGATTACATATGTATGAAGAAGAACTAGTTTAAATTTTTTATGTAGGTCTATTTCAAAGTATCAAATCAAAATTGCTTAAATATTTTCATTTTTGGAATGTACACTTTTTGTTGGTTAATTGTGTGGCTTTGCCTTACTTAAAGACAACATTTGTTGAGGTGAACTCTGTAATTTCTGATTACCTATTTTATTTTACATGTATGTATCCAGAATGAAACATTGAAATTGAATTTTCTGAAGTCTCATCTCTACTTACCAACTGACTTTTTTCATCAGAAGCCGCCTGATGGCTAACAAGCGTATTTTAAACTTGGCCTTACCTGTCTATTCCGTCAAATGTCCAAACTTTAAAAATGTCACTTTAGGGTGTCAATAGTGTTCTCCTTTTGTAATCAGAATGGTGTTTGTTGACACCTTGGCTACGTGCAGATATATAGCTTTAGGCCTAGCGTTGTATGTATTTGTCTTAGATCATATATAATGTGTTTGATTCAAATTTCAATTTACAAAAAATGTAGGTCTGCTTATAACTTTACTATGTGGCTTTGTAATAAAGTTTGCAAATATACAGGTATAAAACACTTTGTTGTACCTTTAGATATTTGTTTCTATGCATATCTATATGAAGAAAGTCTAATATTTATAATATTTTGCTGAGCGGGCATAAAAAAAATCAAAATTGGTCCTTTTAGTGAGATTTTCAACTGGCAATCGGATGCTGGATGCTTACGTCACACAAAGAAGGGACCTGAATCACATTTGCAATAGTGAAAAAACTGAGGTTTATATCATGGAAGACAATACAAGATTCATGTGTGTCAAATTATTGATATGTTAAAATAGAAGGTCCAACAAAACCGTTTATTGACTGTGTTCTCTGACGAGATACATGAAATTTAGGCAACATCGAATTGATATATACATCATTAATCATGAATTAAGGAATTTTTTATCGTATGCATTTGTTCGTTAAAACTCAAAAAAAAAAGGTTAGGGAAACACTTAGGTTTGCTTCAATGTATAGAAAAAGTCTTTAATGATTTTCTCAAGAGCCACTGTGCTAGAAAAGCGAAAACTTATGTGGAAGCAGTCTTTCAGAGGTAGTGTTGATTCCTAACTGTTCAAATCACGACGTCAGTGGTAGGGTAGGGCCATAACAAGAATTGAAAAGGGGGACATCTGGAAAAAAAACTGCATGACACTAGTTAGTCAGGTACACAATATGGCCCCTGGGTTACTTGATATTTGCTAGATAAATACCTTGAAATAGCATTACAACTGATTTTTTGGTCACATTTACAGAAAGAAGAGGTAGATTTTGCATCCAGACCAGAAAGTCATCTTGTAAATGAAAATGAATTTGGGAATTTCGAACAATCCATAAATGTGTATGAAGGTAAAAGGCCCAATGAATGTAACATCTGTATGAAAACATTTAATCATCTACATGAGTTACTGACACACATGAGTATACATACAGATAAAAAACCTTATAAATGTGATGTGTGTGGAAAGGCATTCAAACACCCACATGACATAGAGAGACACATGAGGACACATACTGGTGATAAACCTTATAAATGTGATTTGTGTGGGAGGAAAACCTACCAGTTATGTCACCTACATGTACACATGAGGACTCATATAGGTGAAAAACCTTATAAATGTGATGTGTGTGGGAAGGCATACAGCCAGTCACAATGTTTAAAGATACACATGAGGACACATGCAGGTGATAAGCCTTATGAATGTGATATATGTGGAAAGGCATTCAACTGGCCTGGAAATCTACAGAAACACATGAGGACACATACTGGTGAAAAACCTTATAAATGTGATGTTTGCGGGAAGGCATTTACACTGTCACATCACCTACAGAATCACATAAGTATACATACAGGTGATAAACCTTATAAATGTGATGTGTGTGAGAAATCATTCAACAGATTAAATAACCTACAAAGGCACATGTGGGCACATACAGGTGATAAACCTTATAAATGTGATGCATGTGAGAAAGCATTCAAAAGATTAAATAACTTGCAGAGGCACATGAGGACACATACAGGTGATAAACCTTATAAATGTGATGCATTTGGCAAAGCATTCAACAGATTGAATAACTTACAAGCACACATGAGGACACATACAGGTGATAAACCTTATAAATGTGATGTGTGTGGGAAATCATTCAACAGATTAAATACCATACAAGCACACATGAGGACACATACAGGTGATAAACCTTATGTATGTGATGTGTGTGGGAATGCATTCTCCCTTTCAGAAAACTTACAGAGGCACATGAGGACACATACCGGTGAAAAACCTTATAATTGTGATGTGTGTGGGAGAGCATACCCTCATTCTTATACTCTACAGAAACACATGAGGACACATACCGGTGAAAAACCTTATTTATGTGATTTGTGTGGGAAAGCATTCAACCTCTCACAAACCTTACAGAGGCACATTAGTTTACATACAGGTGATACACCTTTTCAGTGTGATGTTTGTGGAAAGGCATTTAAACTGTCACATCACCTACAGGAGCACATTAGAATACATACAGGTGATAAGCCTTATAGATGTGATGTGTGTGGGAAGGAATTCAGTCGGTCACCTGACTTAAAGAGACATATGAGGACACATACAGATGATAAACCTTATAAATGTGATTTCTGTTGGAAAGCATTCAACAGATTAAAAAGCTTACGGGCACACATAAGGGAACATACAGGTGATAAAATTTATAAATGTGATGTGTGTTGTAAAGCATTCAACCAGTCAAGTATCTTAAAGAAACACATTAGGACACATATAGGTGATAAATCTTATAAATGTAATGTATGTGGGGAGGCATTCGCGGATTGTAATACCTTACAGTCACACATGAGGACACATACCAGTGAAAAATCGTATATATGTGATGTGTGTGGAACGGCCTTCTGCCAGTCACATCATTACACATACTGGTGAAAAACCTTACAAATGTGGCTAATTCAAGATTAAAGGGACGTTCTTTGAATAAATGCTACATTTCTGGATGTGGTTTGAATAAATGTCAGTGTGACATATGAAAGAGAATCTCTGACATATATATATGAAAAAGGGAGTATGGATAAATGTGACATAAATGAAAAGGTCTTGATAAATATATCATATGAAAGAAAGGGTCTTTTGATAAATATGTCATATGAAAGAGGGAATTTGGATAATAATGACATATAAAAGAGGGACTTTTATTAATGATGGCATATGAAATAGGGAATTTGAATAATCATGACCTTTGAAAGAGGGATTTTGAATAATTATGACATATGAAAGAGGGTCTTTGGATAAATAAGACATTCATGTATGAAAGAGGTACTTTGAATAATTACGACACATGAAAAAGGGACTTTGAATAATTTTGACATATGGAAGAGGGACTTTGAATAAATATGACGTATGAAAAAGGGATTTTGGATAACTAGGACATATGAAAGGGGGACTTTTGAGAAATGGGACTCGGTGGAGGGATTGGTTATATAGATTGACTATTTACAGTTTAAAGTCCCTCTCCAGAATATTTCACAGATATGGAGACGTCACCATTGCCAGTGAAGGGATGCAGATTTAGGCCTATGCTCGGCACTTACGGCCTTTGAGCAGGAAGGGATCTTTATCGTGCCACACCTGCTGTGACATGGGGCCTCGGTTTATACGGTCTCATCCGAAGGACCACCCCATTTACTCGCCTTTTACGACAAGCAAGGGGTACCGAGGACATATTCTAACCCGGATCCCCACGGGGCGACTCGGTGGAGTGGTGTAGGATACATGACGCATATGTTGGAGGTTCTTCTTATAAATTTTGCATAAACATATATGTTAAATAACCGTGACTTGTCTATTGGAAGGGACTTTATATTTGACATGAAACGAAGACTCTGGATAAATATGACAAACATATGAAAGAGGGAGTATGGATAAATGTGAGAGGAGCTTTTAAAAAATGCTACTTATGTGTGAATGATTTAGAATAAATATGACATATGAAAGAGAGACTTTTGATAAATGGGACTCGGTGGAGGGGTGTAGGATAAATGATGCATATGTTGAAGGTACTTCTTATAAATATTAAATAAACATGTATGTTGGATAACCGTAGCTTGTCAATTGGTAAGGACTTCTAATTGAATTTTCGAGTGGGAGGGACTGATACAGGTTCCATGCTTCTTCAATTTCAAATGAATGAGGAAAAAAAACTAATAATAATTGTGAAAAGACATTTAAATAGTCATTACGTGACTCATCTCATAGCTCATAAATATATGCATGTATTCAATTACTACCTGTGTTATACTGCATTTCAGTGTACAAATATAAATAAGTATGCATTCTGAGTAATTTTTATTTGTATTTTTTTTAGTGTCTTTCGTTGGAGATACTTTTCATGTGATGTCTAAATTGTTTAATTCCTTAGAGTTGTTTTACTTGCACTCCAATAGAACACATTAAATTTGTGCCTTAGGGACACTGTATATTGAATATGTTGAAAGGTATTAACAACAAAAGCATACTAATGCATTAAATTTGACAATCTTACGTACATGCATATCACAAGAGTGAATAAAACCTTTTGATATAATTTTTTCTGTTGTTTGTTATTCATACATGTAAATGGATAACTTTTACAATGTCCTATTGAGAAATCTAAAAATATATTCAATTAAATCTGCATCAAAGCATTTAGTAATAACTATTGCTAGATTTTTTTTCTTCTGAACATCACCATGCCAGAACTATGAAAAAATGATACTTGTTACTGATTGATATGTATGAAGCAAAGGAGATAACGAACAGTATTCAATCTCAAAGTCCATTAAACAATACAAAACAGGAGCAGAGCAAACACGGACCTCCGAAACATCATAGGTGGGATCAGGTGCCATGGAGGAGTGATCATCCCCTGCCGACCGGTCACACCCGCCGTGTGCTCTTCGTTATGATCAGGAAATAACGGAAAAATCCGTCGTCAATTCATATAAATAATGGACTAACAATTGGTATGAAAAACGTCAGTCAGCATTTGACTCATTGATACATTGTATTTGTTGACAAAATTATTCACAATCAATGTGTAAAAATGGCCTACACAATATCAATAGGGGGATTTTTTGCAGTATATGGGATGTATCATTAAAAAAATAAAATGGAATAGTAGAAAATTTGCAGTGAATTGATTAGAATATTCTTAACATAACATTACACCAAGATGTAGTAAATAAAGATATTGTTTAAGGAATCACTGTCTGGTAAACAGAGAATGCCAGGGCATCAACGATTGGAAACTTGGGATTATTAAGAAATAGTAAATTTTGGTGGGGCCATAATGTAGAAATAGTAAATTTGGGCGGGGCTGTAATGTAGATTCAAGCAGGCTAAAATCATGAACCCGGGGGTTATGGTGTGGTCTCACCTGGTGATCAAAGTTTCACATGGGTATATGCATTTATATATAGAAAATTACATGTATAACAGTTTGATTTCATACTCTATTGTATTACATGCGAACTACACTGTATTTCTACAACGATTGAGGCACATTATTTAGAAATGAGTTTTTCAAATAAAGATATCAATGCACTGTGAAATCGTTTCAATTCAATTTTAAGCAAATTTTTTTTCGTATCGCCACAAGGATCTTTTTTTGCAAATCTTTCGTTTAGACTCTCATGCAACTTTCACACTTTATTATCTGCGGTTTTTCAATCGATCATGACAAAGAATTTACAATCCACGATTATGACCGGTTAACTGGGAATGTTTCTCCTTAAAGGACGTCAAACCTACCTGTGTTTCCAGTTAGCCTTGCTTTCTCTGCTCACAGTATGTTTTGTTATGTCCCCCTATGAATACGACTGGTACATATACTATTAGTGATGTTCGTCTTCCATCCTTCTGTTTTTAAGCTCAAAGCTCAGTTTGAAAAAAAAACTTCAATATATTTTTATCAAACTTCACAAGCTGATATATATATTGATTAGAAATATGCATCTGCTTCAATATTTTTTGACATTGACCTTTCCTTTGACCTCTTGACCTCGCTTTTCTAAATATAAGTGCTTTGCTCAGTTTTAAAGATACCATTCAAGATTGTGTTATCAAACTCTTATGCTGATACATACTAAAGATACCTATTCAAATACATCATTTTTACCTCGCCTTTTCCTTTGAGCTTGACCTTATTTTTCTTGAATAAGTGTTTAGCTCAAATTTTAAGAAACCATCCAAGAAATTTTATCAAACTTCATTATCTGAAAAATACTGATGAGAGCTTTTCAACTGCATCAACATTTTTACCTTGACCTTTAATTTGACCTTGACCTCACATTTCCTAAACAGTGTCAAACTTCAAGGCTTTTTCTCGATTTTGATATTTTACATGCCAGGGTACGTCAGAACCGGTGCCATTATGAAAACTTGAAAATTTGACGGTCCCCAACCAAAATTTATGTTCAATAGTTTCGAGCCTGATTAAATTCCGAAGTTTCAATTTATGAACAGCTCAGTCCAAATTTCAATACAGTTCTTGCAACATTTTAAAATGTACAAAATGAAAAAAAATTCAATGGTCTGAATAAACACATTTAAACGTCAACGGAATGTTGCCCCGTGAGGATCCGGGTTAGAATATGTCTTCAGTACCCCCTTGCTTGTCGTAAAAGACGACTAAATGGAGCGGTCCTCTGTATAAACCGAAGCCCCGTGTCACAGCAGGTGTGATACGATAAAGATCCCTCCCTGCTCAAAGGCTCTGAGTGCCGAGCATAAGCCTAAATCTGCATCCCTTCACCGGCAATGGTGACTTCTCCATATCAGTGAAATATTCTGAAGAGGGACGTTAAACAGTATACGATCAATCAATCAGTCAACGGACAAAAATGAAGATCACTGTGAGATTGTATTAATATTTATTTCTTCTCAAAGGCCCAAAAATGATACGCCTTAACAATAAATTCAAATTTAATGAAATTCGTGCAAACTTTAAAAAATAATCGCTAAAAATGTCAAGATTTTTCATACCTAATCAATCAATTAAATAATGAATGCATATTTGAATAAAACAAAAAGAATCAATAAAAATGATGATGTTGAGTACCTAGAACACTGTACCATTGATAAGTTGTGAATTAAGTATTAAATTTGGATCGACAGTTTCCAAAAATCAACCCGAAAATGACGCATCTAACTGGAGACGGAAAATTTCCACCGCCGGTTCTGACTTCCTGACGCATAACATGTCAAATTCGTGAAGAAGCGCTAAAAATGTCAGATTTTTCAGACTAATCACTGAAGAGTAAATAATGAATAATATGTTGTTTCTATCTTAATATTTTATTTATTCTGTTACATAAATATTCTTGTACATAACACTGTAACCTGCGATGCTTCAATATTTAGCACACAAGATATCTATAAAAATTCTATTTTTCTATTGATTAAGAAATTCTCCAATTCGCATGAAAAAATGAAAGGAAAAAGTATATTCCCCAGATGGTAATGTTTTAATCTTTATTACAGAAAACATTCATCTTGATTACAGGAATATTTTCTGAACATGGTTGTGACATCCAGAATAAAATCATCAGTGACGTCATAGACAGAAATTGCAAAAAACTGCTGAACAAGAACATTTTTAAATTCTCTATATTCCAATGTTTGATTTCTTTCTTTGTTTTATTGCTTACCTGTTCTCCTCCATTGCATTCGGAACCCAATTTTTTTGTTCCGGCACGGTGATAGATGTCATTTTGGAATAACTGGTTTCGTTCCAAATTAGATAGTCGTCATTCTATTTAACATCAAACCAGGCTGTGACAGAAATGTACTGCAAATGTTCGTCTACCTCATGAATCGTGTTTAACCTCATTAGAACGCTCACATGAACATTCATTTTTATTTTTTCTTGGTTTCAAATTTTTACTATAGTCCTTGAAAAGATTTTGCTCAAAGTTGGACACAAACAAACATATATACATCTGTAGGACACCAATATTGAAGAACAACATTTTAATTTCAATGTCCATCTTCATTTTGAATTCCTTATGTGTACTGCTGAAGAGAGCGTTTTTCTTGCACAAAAGTTAAATACTTATTCTATTTGTAAGATAAATGCCCACACAATATAAAGTGACCACTACGAGATAACACACATTTTGTTATTCATTTACAAGAAAAATGTTGTTACTAGTATTTATTTGTTTATCTACAGGAGAAAAAAGGATTTTAAAATGATAATTATTCGTTATTTGACAATCAGCAAAGGATTAGTGCCAACAAATGAGTCTTATCAATCGTTCAAAGAACTCTTATTTGATTCTATAATCAACAAAATGTCAATTTCAATTTTACATGTAAAGAAAAGTTATTTCGATCAACTTATTTATAGTCTAATCAGGGATGGGGTAATCGTAATCAGTAATCGTAATCAGCTGTAATCGATTACAGTTTGCCAAGTAATCATGAGTAATCAGTAATCATCCATTTTTCTGATTACAAGTAATCGTAATTTAATCGATTACTGTGAAAAAAGTCCTGTAATCATGATTACTTTTTGATTACTTTATGATTACAATTTTCAAAACAAAGTTCTAAAAATCATGATTTTAATGATATTCAGTAAAGATTTTTCAGTGTACAAATTGTTTTATAAGAAAAATTATTATGAAATCATAAGCTATATTTGGTTAGGTATCTTCTTCTAATATTTCCAGAAATTCTTATAACCAGGTCCATTAATGAAAATTGTCCAGGCAATGAGAAAGTTCCATCAGACATAGCTATATTCAGTAGTCATTTCAGAATATGTAAGAAGCTTAGCAATTCGTCATTTTTGACTATAGATATATGTATATACTTTCAGAACCAAAATTACTACAGGATCATTTTGAGTTTGATTTTTTTTTGTTTCAATTAATGAGCATGTGTTTAATGCAACATTTTGTTTTTCCCTGTAAATCTTTTAATAAACTTGTTTTTTTTTAATATCAAATGTTCCTTTATTGAGTGTGTATTCGAAAAATCACTTTATTTGATTTACAGTCTACATAAAAGATATGTGAATTAATCAGTAATAAAACACAGGTATACTACTGTAAGTTATGTCAGCTTGGGTAATGACAATTATTGAACTATCCATGCTTGTCCAGCCAATGTGTTAATTCTTGTAAAAACATCTAATAATTGGCAGCTTAATTAAAAGGCTCATCAAGAAGGTCAATTACCGGGGTACTTGTGTAAAGTTCTCTATCGAATCCCTTTATCCCTAACTATAATTATGTTGAATTTGAGTTATAAATAATGATAAATTCTTTTTTTATCTTTCTCAACAATAACACAAAATATTTACTTGTATTAAAGATAGAACTCAAATGATCTAAGAACCATATAATGCTTCTATATGAAGACATGTACCACCAAACCTTGACTGAATTCTACCTTAAGAAATATAAATGATATTTTAAAAAAGGAATAAAAATATTTCGTTGTCCTTGAACATTAAAAATACTTAATGTAATCTAAAGTAATCATAAGTAATCATGATTTCATGAAAGAAAAGTAATCATATGTTATTGATTACTTTTAAAAATGTCTGTAATCAGCTTGTTATCGATTACTTTTAAAATCCAAAGTAATTGTAATTTAATCGATTACTTTTGAAAGTATTCGACCCCATCCCTGAGTCTAATGAAAGGCTGCATTAGTCTGACATTGTTCCATGTTCTTTGTTGAATTTGTTACAATTAAAGCAAACAAGAGAAATTTGGAGCACCAATCCTATTAACAATGAATCCACTTAAATAAAAAAAAACATGTGCCCCTTTGTTCTCAGGATCACAAGATTTATTTTTTCATTTTATTATTTTATCATTTTGAAAAATTCGAATATACACTAGAGTACATTTCAACCAATTGCGTGTCAGTGTGGGGTGCTATTTCCCCCATTTATACGGAGTTGGAGGGGTTGTAGTCATGCAGTTCTTTGTGTGTGTTAGTTTGTTCTTGTACCAAACGGAAGTAATATATTTTACATCAGGATTGACATTGAATGCTGCCTTGACCTTTTCGAAGTGATAATCCGCTTTGCGATGCCCTTGTTCTTTTTTTTTTACGAAAGACTTTGATAAAACTCCATTTGAAAAAAAAATCTTTCAAGGAAGACATATAGAGGTCCACAATAAAGCTTCTAATTTAGCAGTTAGAGTAGAGTTTGGTGAACTTCCCATTATTTTTATAATTATAATTTATTACTTAGATATTAAATAGATTACAGAAACTTGTTTCAAATCAAGAGAATTCAAACTAACTTTTACAAGATGCATATTTAGAGGATGAAAAACTTGCAGGAAGTGGAAAAACATGTCGGCAAAACTGTATACAAACTGTACTTGATGAAGTTACTGCTTCAAATGCTAATACATTATCAATAAATGTTTTTGAAAATAATGAAAAAAATTGAGAACATAATTTTTAAGGTTGTAATAAATATCAAAGATAAAGGTAAGGACAAATTATCATTCTACAGCCAGTTAAGGATGTACAACACACCTACCCCCAAAAATTCCTGTCGTTTAATTTTCGTTATTTTTGTATATTTAGTACATGACTATATCTACTGCATGTATGCATATTTTAAACAAAATCGTTCGAGTGGTTTTTGGACAGGAACTTCCGAAAGTTACCCCCCTTTAGTTGTTTACAAGGATAGAAAATTTTTAATCAACGAACTACATAAACCTTGATTTTCAAAAAAGCCAGGTTAGATATAAATGTCAAATTTCATTGGCTTATTCCTTTATCCATTTAACACAAAAACATAGTCATCTTTTTGAAATACATATCATCAAAATAATTTTTAAAGACCTTAAACTGAAAAACTATGAATTTTCTAAGCCTTGAAAATTGCGAATTTTTCAAATTCAAAATTTTTTGTGAAAAAACCTGTCGTTTAATTTTGGTAAAAAACTTTCTTTAGATAGCTGGTAGTAAAAATAATCTTCATAATTTTTTGTATAATTTTTGTACGACCAGTTTTGATTTAATAGCGGAAAATAACCCCCTCCCCCTTTCTCAATAAATCACGTTCCCGCGCGTCTTTCAAACGGGGGTCGATCACTTTGTTATATGAATCTACAAATACATATTAAAAAATTAAAATGGAATATTGCTTTTGCTTGAAAAAATATATTAACTTACAAATTTAAAAGTTCTCATATGTACAGCGTATTTAAATGTAGATTTTTAGGCAATTTTTGAATACCCCTATCACCCCCACCCCTTCCTTTTTTGCGTCGCAGACCATAAGCGTTCGACGAAACGTCGTTTATAGTGCAAATATGGTAGTATTTCGTCAAGAATTCCAGAGGTATGCATTAGTTTTTAAATTCATGAATGCAGCATAAATATTGACTACTCTTTTTATATGTATCAGGAAAAAATTACTGAAAGATTTTAGTGTTTAGTCCATATACCTATGCGTTTAATATGCATTCCATATCACATGAAACCTGGATACGAATTCAAGTTTTGTTGAACTTTAATATAGTGATTTTTAATTTTATTTCTTTAATTTTATTCATTAAAAATGGTGTATGTTCAACTTTCCTGTGATATAAATAAATAATTGTATTTTCTTTCATTTGATTATTTCAAACGAGACAGTATGTGGCCGTGGGGATACATCGACATTTGCATTAGATGTTCATACACCCCTCATGATATTGTACGCATTTCTTTCAATGTCGTCGCTTCTAAAGTTAAAATGAAAATTCTGTATTCGTCCACATTAACTTCAAAATATCAAACATTAAACTCTTCATCTATTTCAATTTATATCAAATCGCACATTGATATTTTTTAATCTTATAGGCTACGTTTTGTTTTGATTCGAGGAAATGCGAACCGACATTGTTGACAGAAACTGAGAAAGTCAAAGTTACGATTTGCTGCAAGGATATTCATAAATGCAGATAATTTACATTAACTTACATTGTGTATATGAGGTCTATAGTATTCAATTCTCGGATTTATCAGGTCTTGCTGTAAATGTATCTGACTCTGTGGAAAACCTGGATAAAGGGAGGAAAATAAACATCTCCTACATTTTCAGAGTTGTTCCTCTTTGATCAGTAAGGGTAAAAAGTTTTTTGTTTATTTGTTGTTGTTTTATTTAATTAAAGAAGAAAAACAATAAATGTATTTATATCGTGTATGCACAAAATGCACAAATTTTACATTGTAAAAAGTTTTTTAAAATTTTCAGTTTATTATATTTATTGTATGTTTTATTTAATTTAATCGGGTTAATTAAAACAATACTTACTGATTATGAAAAACAATAAATTTTCTTTCATGTTGATATACATGAATTTTTCGACGCTTTATTTTTGACCGTCATAAACGTTTAATTGAAATTTTTCCATTTCCAAGGAATTCTAAACCAGCTTGAATTTCAACCATACTTAAATTTTTCCATTTCCAAGAATCTTCGTTTTTTTTTACTCGATGAAGAATAAGTGCCCATAAATTACAGATATAGCAAATATTGTTACTCAATAATACCAAGAGATTAAAGATATTGTATTGGAATTGTCAAAATATCGTTTTTTGATATCTGAACATTATATGAACATCATTTTTTTTTATTTGTATGTTCATTTATAAACAACTAAGAAGTGAACTTTGTACACTTTTTAATAATTTAATCTTATTTGTATTCTAGACTCTCATTGGTTGATTTCCAAAAAGGAACGGAAAGTATGGGGACATCTCCCCCCCCCCCCCCCTTGCCAACCAGCCGAATCACTTGTATATATACACATGCTATCCCATATGATTTTCAGTCCTTTGAATTCATAGAAAATTCCAGATTTAATAAATGTACTTTAAACCTCAAACAGCAGCTCGATCTTACCTCGTGTAAACAAACATTATAGCCGCTAGATCTGTGTATCAGTTATTACCACCCCTTCTTTCATATATCACTTCCGTTACTATAGGAACACGCATCATTGAGCAGCAAATTTGAACTCATAAAAAGCAGCACAATTTTACACCCACAGTTGTTTAATTATTTGAAAATTAAATTATATGGAATGACTCCAATTCTTGGCCAAATTTCGCAGATTATAAAGCGTAAACTGACCAAAACCAGGTTATAATCGAAAAATTTGGCCAAGAATTGGAGTCACTCCTTAAATAATACATGTATATAGTATGGAATTCTTAACAAGAAAGTTTTGTAACTTTATACATGATACACGTTATATGAGAAAATATATGTATTACTATATATTTCATATTTGTTAACTGTATGAATGATTTGTGCCACATGTGGTTTTTGTCAAATTGAATAAATAGGTAAAATATATGAAAAAACGAAATGTTGTTTCATAAATTTCTTATTATTTTACAAGAAATTCCCTGTTGTTTGTAAAATTGGCAATTCGTTTTTAAAACTTGTGTACATGTACTTTTTACATTTATAAATGATCCTGCGTTTAGCGAGGGCAGAGATACATGGACAAAAGCGTATATTTAAAAAAAAAAGATGGCCAGATCAATGTTAATGTATTTTTTTAAATGCATTTATTTCCAATAACATGCGACAAATAATGAGGTAAAACTTCCATAGAAGCCCTCGATTAATACCTTACCGGGTGCTAGGCGCTCCTTGGATTTCCTCAGTATTTTTCATCTACTATATATCCAAACGTATTTTTTTCTTTTAAAATAATGGCCAGATTAATGTTGATTTAATGTACAGTGTATCTGGTTTATTTGATTTGAACATATTTTATTGCTTATACTTTACAATTGGAATTGGGCAAAAGTTCTAGAAACTTATTACGCCCTCTCCCTGGTTTATTTACTTGTCTTCATATCTGTTAATTAACTATAGTTTCATTCTAATAATTATAAAACTTGTAAAATGAAATAAAATAAAATATCCGTGTTGTTTTTTGTATTAGGCCTATTTCACAGAAAAGGGGTGGGGGTGGGGGGGGGGGGGGGTGGAGCGTTCATATTTTACGTCGGGATCGAAATTTTGCATTGTTTACACAAAGAAGGCAACAATATGCTTCACCGTTCACGTTACGGTTCGCACGAATCGAACACATTTTACTGATTTACCAGGTAATACATGAATACCAGAATCTAACAAAGCATTAAAAAGCATTTTATTTCAATGACGTACTATGTTTGATAGCTGAGATAAGCTGAATATTTTTATACTCAAATATTCTAATATTTCATTCTGCAAGATACACGGGAAGATATAATGCCCGGATAGTATATAATGCCCTGATTGACCTGATTACATATATACGCGTATACAAAAATAAATAGCTTTTTAGTTGCACTTATTGAAAACTATAAATATTTATAATTATCATTTTCTATTACAATCATAAAGAACATGCAAAATAAAAATTATCTTTTTATATGTATATATTATTTCTTTATCTTTTAAAGTTTTATTTGATAGATTAAATTGACATTTGTATATTATGTCCTGATTTTGTGGCATAATGACCTGATAATATGAAAACTTTGAAGAAAAAGCATTCTTAAATTCTTTTTGTTTCACTTTTCAAATTTTATAAATTATTTTCAGTTGGATAAATAAAAAAATTTACAAAATGTTTTTTGAAAAGTATTGATTTTCCGTTGCTAAAAGCACTTTAAAGTTAACAAGGGGTATAATGTCATGATAATGAATGAACTGAGTTTTAATAGTGACCTGATTAAAATACTTATGTCAATACTCAATTGGTAAAAATAATGAATTAATTACATTGTGACATTTAAAAAAAAATTAGAATTGTAATAATTTGATTTATTTATGGCTAAATTAAAACAAATGGGTAAAACACTAGTGAACCTGATGAGTTGAGTTTGATTCCCAGTCTAGCCATACATTTTCTTCTTTCCTGTTACAGATTTGGCACCATTATTACCCGTGGAAAGAATCTGAATTATTCCTTTATTCTTTTACAGGTCTTTGAGAGCAATAATTGAACAAACAGACCATGTCAGAATTTGATGTGGAGACAGCTTTATCCAGCGCCAGAGATCCAGAATCTGATCGGGGAGAAGAATCTAATGGTATATTTACATGTATATACGTAATAATAGCAAACATTCTAATTGTAAATATTTACATTTGCAAATATTCACATTCGCCATGTTTTTCTAATAAGCCAACTGTGAAATTGATTTGAAAACCATTTTTGTGTATACTCACGCAAAAAAAAAAAAATATACACGTAGAAACTTGCATTAACGTGATGTCACAATAAGATTACAGCAATGTTAGTTAAAATATAGGGCAAGAAATTCAAATGTTGAGTATATTTTTGCCGTTTCTAAACATGTAAAATGCAACTATAAGGGATGTTTTTAGATTTAGTGTGAATTATTGGTGTGTGAATCACACAGATTTGCACGTATGCATAATTTTCATGCAGCGCTAGTGCGCTCCATGAAATATGCCTATGTGACAAGTCTGTGTGATTCACACAAAAATGAATCACACAGAACTTAAAATAATTCCTTAAATATCTTTCTTAGATAAACCTTTCGAAGATAAAATATGTTCATTTCTGAATGAATTTCATTTGAGGGTCAGATGTCAGTGCAACCGTATCACAAAGTGAGGTGTATTTTATTCATCTTCTGTACTTCATTTGTCATTCATGCATTCTTTTGATATAAAGGAATTGTAGATTTCTTCACTAAATTGTATTGATTGTAGAAGAAAAGTTGACCTTTGACAATCCTGATCCTGAGGTAAAAGGTCATCAACACGAAGTAACAGTGAAGGTAAGTCAAGATTTTGGTGACAATGTCCTGTAGTAATAACAGTAAAGGTAAGTCAAGATTTTGTTGACAATGTCCTGTAGTAATAACAGTAAAGGTAAGTCAAGATTTTGGTGACAATGTTCTGTAGTAATAACAGTAAAGGTAAGTCAAGGTTTTGGTGACAATGTCCTGTAGTTATAACAGTAAACATGGTAAAGGTAAGTCAAGATTTTGGTGTCAATGTCCTGTAGTAATAACAGTTTAGGTAAGTCAAGATTTAGTAATAACAGTAAAGGTAAGTCAAGATTTTGGTGACATTGTCCTGTAGTATTAACAGTAAAGGTAAGTCAAGATTTAGAAATAACAATAAAGGTAAGTCAAGATTTTGGTGTCAATGTCCTGTAGTAATAACAGTTTAGGTAAGTCCAGATTTAGTAATAACAGTAAAGGTAAGTCAAGATTTTGGTGACAATGTCCTGTAGTAATAACAGTAAAGGTTAGTCAAGATTTTGGTCACAATGTAAAGATTTTGCTGACAATGTCCTGTAGTAATAACAGTGAAGGTAAGTCAAAATTTTCCTTAGAATGTCCTGTAGTAATAACAGTAAAGATAAGTCAAGATTTTGTTGACAATGTCTTGTACTAATAACAGTTTAGGTAAGTCATGATTTTGGTGACAATGTCTTGTAGTAATAACAGTAAAGGTAAGTCAAGATTGTGGTGACAATGAACTGTAGTAATAGCAGTGCCAAGGCAACCTTTTAAAAATAGTTTTGTTGCTCTTTTCTGACCTACCTGCTCAAAATGACTGGACTCAAAACTTTTCTAACTTCCAAAAGTGTTCCCATTTAATTTTTAGGTCACCTGAGTCACTCAGGTGACCTATTGTTATCCGTTTTCATCCGTCGTGTGTTAACATTTGAACATTTTCAGTTCCTTCTCTGAAACCACTGAACCAATTTAAACCAAAGGATGTTCTCCCTATAACAAAAGAATTGACCTATAAGAGAGAACAATTTCCCGGAAAAAGTGACATTTAAAAATGAATCTTCATTTGTTGTTTTCTATCGTATATATGTCTTAATTTTTCAAATTTGTATTTTATACCTAATATTTATTATTTACAACTTTACAATAAACCTTTAAAGTTGGCCAAAAACCATTTTGTCTGTTAAGGCGTGGATTTCTGCATGTATTTTTGTCCTAGAAGTCCTTCAGGGCAGGACTGCCTCTGAATAAAACTGTGATATTTTGATTTGTTGGGATATAAAGAATAATTTAAGATAGTAGTTTTTTTAGGGGCACCCCTGTCCTAGGGTCGAATTCACAAAAAACCTACAAAAAATAAAGAAACTTGATTTTGATAATCTACTTCAAATTTAAACCTTATATTATTAAAGTCAAACCAGCTCAAGTGATATAAGCGCTGATATTTACGCCATGGAAACTTTCCCTTTGAAGTAGGGGTCCGAATCCACCTAGTACCACACTTTTAAAATTTTAAATTTTTGCCTTTTTTAAAGACTTAAGCATTTTCTTTCATTATCAATTATCTATCCTTTTTACATGCCTATTCTTGATATAAGAAACACTAAAGAGAGATCAGATCGTAGCAAACCAATGTACAGTTGTCAGTCAGGCAGAACATAATAAGCACACTTTCTCCGAGGACACGAATAACACACTTTGTGTTACTCTATACGAGTATTCTTGGCAGCATTGAGCTGCGATGAATTTCATTTGTATATATTCTTTAGAATTTAATCACATTAACTTTGGCTACATATATCAGTATTTGATTTCCTTAGGTTTCATTTAGGCCTGTATAATTTGCACACATTAATGACATGTATCGGATAAATAACCTTAAGATAAAGAATTGAATTTCAGAGAGAGTAGAGGTAACCTTTATGCACAATAAGAAGTAAAGGAAAATTTCAATGATTACATTTGGAGAAAACAAACTCAGAAAATCCATGAAAGGGTTCCTCCTATCTCTACTCAATGAAATAAAGATTTGGGAAAAAACAAATTGTTATATGTATTCAACCTAATTTCATTAATCAGAACAGAAATCAACAATCTTTTTGTAGAGAATAAAACCAAGCCCAGTCCTACAGGTCACATCCATATTTATATTAAAGGGATCCTTTGGTATACAACATCTACATATGGGTAGAGAGGAACAGAATTTGTGAATTTTATAGTCCCCACCACCCTGGGGCCTGAGGGGTGGGGCCAAAACACTAAATGTAATGAAATCTTTAAAAAAAGACTTTTTAGCTTACCATAACGAGGCTGGGGAGCTTATGTAATATCCCCAGCGTCGATGTCACCACGTTAAAGTTCAGTTTTTTTGAGTAGTTTTTTTTTTAGGCACTTCTATGTTTTATACAGCCCAACGCAATTTTTAAGCTAACATGGTTTTGCGCACAAATTAAGGCCACATTGTTGTAATAAAAATTACCATTTTCGAACTGCAGTACAATGGCATAACCCTACATTATATTACATATATATAATATTGAAGCCTGGATGTCTTTTAAAATTATCATCTTAAGTTTCCAAAGTGGATATTTTTAGAGGGAATATACATATATATGAATGGTACAGTGTTTCAACTATACGATTCTACCAAAGAATTTTAACAATTGTATAAAACGAGCTTCCTTGATAACATGTAGTGGAAATTTTTTAAAAAAAATTTCTTCTTATAGGTGAGCAGTTTTTATACGCCCGACTTAAGACGGGACGTATTATGTTATAGGCTTCGTGTCCGTCCGTCTGTTAGCTTTTTCGTTTTCGGCTCATAACTTTTACATGTATACTACTAGGCATAGGATTATCAAACTTTGTCATCCGATGCATCTTGGGTAGAAAGTGTGTCGCGCACAAAAAGTAGGTCGCTCTGACCTTTAATTAAGAAGTTATAGCCAAATATGAAAATATCCTTTACGGCCCATAACTAAAATACTATAAGACTTACAATCATCAAACTTGGCCAGTTTATGCATCTTAGGTAAAAGGTGTGTCACGACCTATTTCAAGGTCACTGTGACCTTTAATTTAAGGGGGCGACTATAGTTTTATTTTGTGAAAACTACAATAGTGAAATTGTTCATTTTTATACCATATATAATTTACACTAACTTCTGTGTACATGCAAAGTTTTGGGAAAATTTACCCTCCAGTTATTTTTGAAGGACCATCTCAAAAATACAGGTACATTTACTATAGGATATTACAGGAAAATGCCAATTTTTAGCACTTTAAAGCAAATTATACAAATACTACAATAGACATTTTGTTCAAACTATAATATTTGATGAGTAATGCTTTATTATACAATATATGTAAGAAACACAAAATTCTACCGTCTTGTTACCAGAGAGGGCATCTCAAAATGCAAAACATTAGCAAATTTTACCATTTTTATAGAGTATTACAAAATATGACGTACACAATGGATTCACATGAAAACATAATAAAATATTGGAGATATTCTCTTATGTCCTTGTTGTAAAATTCAAGAGCATATGTTTATTACTTTTTCTTTAATGATATTTTTATTACCCCTTTCTTTAAAAATTATAGATTATCATAATGTCAAAAACACACTGCATCGACGTCAAACTACCAATTGTGAAATCGGTTAAAAAATTAGATATATCAAATTGTAATGACATTTTTATACCTATAATTTCTTAATTTTGTTTAATTTTGATAATTAAGATAAAAAAAGTTGCATTAAAACAGTAAATACGCTTCATTTTACTATGATGCGCGAAATATTGCGCAATGGAAACTATAGTCGGCCCCCTTAAGTAAAATTTTTAAAAAAGTTTCTTTTTACTATTCATTTACACATTCCAAATAATGTAAGAGTATTGTACTGTCCCTATTAAAAAGTGTTAAATCAAGAAAATACTTATTTTTTTTTAAGCATATACTTGACAGCAATCTATAACAAATTAAATGTATGTTAGAGAAATTTTACCTCTCCCATGAGTGTAATTATCAAGCCTTGGTCAAGAAGAATTTGATAACAGAAAATTGCATGTCAAATTGGAGAGAAATTAATGGGTATTGAGTGTGAGGAGCTAACTGACAGGGCATTGGTGTTAACTATATCCCTTGAGTATTGGGCAAATGGGTAAGCCTGTTTGATTAAAAATAGTTCTTGTTGGCTATAACAAATTAAGATACTACTGAGGGGCACTGAGGTGCTTCTGAGGGAACTGAGCTGATACTGAGTGATACTGAGGTTTTTTCTGAGGCTACTGAGGACATACTGAGAGGCACTGAGGTGTTCAAAATCCAATTATATGAGAATAAAATAAGATTGAAAGTGAATAGACAGATAATTCTTCTTGTACATAACCTTCTCTTCCTTATAGTATTTCTTTTCTTTGATTTACGGAGCCACGACCCTAGTTAATATTCAATGACCAAGTATATAATTATAGTGTATATCTTTCATTTTTTTTTCTTTTATTCAAGATTAATAATCACGCAAGAATCCTCTGCGTGCATTTGCCGTGTTTGTAATTATTGTCAGTAACAATAAATATTTTTACTCTAGGTATTTTTTCTTAAACGAAAACAGAATTTTAAATATATATATATACTAGACATGATATCTATGTAAGAATTACTCACGCATGAATTGAAAACTAATTAATATTTTCATCTATTTGATATGAT